TGGGGACGAGATCACATCACGAATAACGAAAGCTAGAGCAGCTTTCGCTAACCTGCGACACCTGTGGCGCCGCCGTGACATCCGATTGTCCCTTAAGGGAAAGGTGTATATCGCCGCAGTTCGTAGCGTTCTGCTTTACGGTTGCGAGACCTGACCTTTCCGAGCGGAAGATGCTAATCGACTTTCTGTATTTGACCACCGATGTCTCCGAAGCATTGCTCATGTCTGGTGGGAACACCGGATGAGCAATGACGAGGTCCGTCGTCGTGTGTTGGGTGCGGATAGTCGTCCTCTAACAGAAGTAATCGCCTCCGATGGCTTCGTCACTTATTGCGTATGCCTGCTCATCGACCACCTTTCCGTGCTCTCTTTGCGCGTGCCGGGCAAGGCTGGAGGAAGCAGCTCGGCGGTCCGACCATGACGTGAGCTAGAGGCATGAAGAAGCTAGCTTCAGCTTTGGCTTCGGTTGGTGCAGCCCACCTTCCAGGTTGGGGCCCAAGGGATGAGGATTGTCGCTGGTTAGAGACGCTGAGAGATATGGCCCAGAATAGAAGTCAGTGGCGCGAATGCTGTACGGTCTGCCTGTCGAAATCCGGTGCCCCTTAAGAAAAACGAAACATCAAACAACACAAAAAATTGCAAAACGTGTACGGTGAAACACAAAAAGTTCTGTCGTCTTGTATTTTCCCATGTTTAACTGTTTTACCCACTTTTCACTATGTTCTGTATATTAATCCACCTATCCCCTTTCACTGTCATGTTATTGTTGTTCACACCTAGCATGTTTTCAAGCCGGTGGTAAATATATATATATATATATATATATATATATATAATATGTGCTTTAGCCAGCGAAGTGTACTAATCTGAATTCGGTGTGTCAGCAGGTTTAGACCTGATAGACTCCCAGACCACGACGGCTCACCTCCACGTTACTAACCCATTCGCTCCATCCAACCTGGACTAAACTGCGTAAACACCGATAATCGAAAACTTCTAGTCGACGGATATCTTCCACCCCCAAATTCAGATTCTCCAAGCAAAGTAGGACTGAACGAACGCTCGCACAATGAATACGACCTTTTAACTTCAGTGAAACGTCGCGTCTAAGCTAAAGGTGTTCCAGTCTTGCGTATGCTGCCCGAGCCTTGTAAATGCTACTACCTCCCTAGTTAGAGTGAGGTTGGGGGCTGGGCAGACCCGTTCTTGTAGCAACGTTTTACAATTTGAAGGTACAAAACGCATACCCCACATGCCTACACTAGCATTCAAAATATCCAGAATAGCTTGCAACTTACCTGTATGTTCACTTAGAAGCACAATGTCGTCTGTATCCTCCAGGTGATACCAGGCCACGTTGCTTTGGAACCACCTAGAACTTCAGTAATCCTGTCATAATCATGTGTTTCTCTTCATTTTGAGCATGTGTTTACTCTGATGACCCTTAAAAAATCACGTAGTACGCTTTTGCGATTGTGGTCTTCCTCTTGCTGCTTTATCTCATGTCACAATATACTGTCAAAAGGCCACGAAAGCAGCCTTATTACTTTAGAACCCACTTTTGATGGTTATAGCCATCACTTATAGATCTGAGATTTCGACTGTCGAACCACATGAGAACACGATGGAAACTTGATTGTAAGGCGCCTGATGGTGTCAGAACTATTGATGACCTGGTGGTATTGGTGATCATTCGAACTGCGATCCGTTCAGACCGTTGCAAAGTCAATAACTATTCAGACATCTGGCGTTTTATTTTCTCCCTGCATCCAAATCGGTTCTTCTGGATACGCCAGTTTATTGTTAAAAGTCTTCCTATCGCTAAAAATCCTGTTGTTTGTATTAAAGTAACGAATTCGTATAGTATCTAGGTTCGTATGGACCACTTTCAATAAGGGATAGTCTTCGTTTTCAAGTCGCGGAAAATATTCACTTCGGTATTTCACTTAATTCTATCTTACTTTTGAATTATTCGTTCAAAGCGCGTTACTGTAAAATGGTATCAAATATCACTTCACGCTAGTCCATGTCAACTCCTTTTTCTCGGTGTGTTTCTGATGAACTCTTCTTGTGAAAGTTCAAACCAATACCGTTTCGGTATATCTGAATAGGTTAACGATTAACACAATCGCTCTGGTTAAAGCAATTAGTGAGAAAGCGTTTGTTTCCTCTTTGGCTGACCCTTTCAATTTGGAGTGCTGAATACAGTCATTCTCCTCTGTCAAAATACATCAAAACGCATACCGAGTATACCCTCCGCATTTGAAATCCATGGCTAAATCGTGACATAAAAGTGCTCGAACATCACAGAATTACAATGAGTTTCCTGGCAGGTTCATTTAAATATGCTGATGATGCTACCTTATGCCGAGTTATTTTAGTAACCGAGGTCTTTTAATCTTCATCCAGCAATCTGTTATATTCAAAAATTTCCGTTGGTTCTTATTTAACCCTCACTTTCGGTAAACCCTCTAAATGCATATTTACCCTTACCCAGTTCGCTTATCTTTAGGACCGTTCGATTACCAATACAAAATATCCATCGACAGTAGATTGTGAGTAACGATCAACCCAGATTTAATTTGGGCGTCTCATATTTGCAACACGATGATGAAATTCCCAGAACTTTTCCTTATTGATATGGAGCGCAGGCGAACATGCTTGTTTTCTTTGAATCCATTTGCATGCTGTTTCATTCACGTTTTTATGAAACATAATGGAGGTGAGATGTGCGTACAAACGAGGGTTGCGTAGCTGCGGGCAATTATGTGACATCACAACTGCATTCGTGTTTCGGGTGGTCGGTTTTTTGGTCAGGCAAGTTGAATATTCTGAGCAAGTTTCTGAAGCACTTAGGTCCTATTAGGCGCATGTTAATTACCTTGGCCATTACTAACGTGCGAAACCAAATTGTTCTGCTCTGCATGGAATTCGGTAGATTATGGTGAATAGCACCGTCAAACGGCTACTGATCGAGTTTTCCTTCTCATTCGAATGAGCTTTTTTTCTGTCCCGATCCCTGTCGATCTTAGCCAACAAAGCTTCATACACCTCCTTATTGGTTAAGATATGATTTCACTTCTTGTTTATCGGCTTTGTTGTTCTGCCGCCATTTTTGTTGGTATTCGTGAGAAACATCTCAAAATTCCTCACGGCTAACTGTAGATTATCAGTCGCGTATCTGTTGTACCATTTGAGGAACTATCTGAATAGCTGTCTGAACTGCACCTGTCCGCTTGCGAAAAATGGAAAACGAAGAGACAGCAACCACAGCCGGCGCACGAAAGTACATAGTAGTGGTTGTACAAACTGAACTTATTCCCGGGAATGTTGCTAATACAAGGCAAACCCTTGCTGCGTACACTTTTCTGCCTTTTCGACCTTTGTATCTTTGAGAACAAAATCAATTGGCTAAGTGTAAAACGCTCCATCCCCTCCATCTTTTGCCGTGTTTTATGTCAATGGTGCTTTTTCCGTCGTTGTACTGAAACTAAGATGAAACGAGTCCGTAAAACTCTCAACGCTTTCACAAACTCAATAGTGGGAAAAGCAAGAGCCGTGTATTTGGCTCTTTTTCTGGAACCAACTTTATCGACCATCCTTTGATCTAATTATACGTTACTAAGTGCGAACCTGATCGTCTCGCGGATTTGCCCTTCACCTTTGGGGATCGGCATCCCAGACCCTCTTACTTAGTTAGCCATAATCATTCGCAATGGAATAAGGATTCGAACTTCAAACCTTAAAGTCTGATGTGTATCTTTGACAGTTAAGTACTCACCACCAGTTAAATTCTCATATGTCCCATTCAGATGTGATTAACACGTCACTCGAATTTGCCATGCGGTTTCATATAACTATGATATTTACTTGCTGTGTACGTGACAGAAACGTGTAGACCATAATTCACTATTNCACCGATTGTGATAACTTGTGCAACGAAGGTAAACGTCATTCGCGACGCTTCCCTTGTGCAGTCATTTGCTTATCTCACGTTAGTAGTTGACAAATATAAACACAGTTTACACACTAATTACCGTCACTGAAATTTAGTTCGTTTATCATAACGGTAGACACTAACGTTGTTCTCGTTGCACAACTAGATTTGAAAAAAGTAACGAAACCATACGTTCGTGTAACTAGTCAGACTTGCATAAACCATTACTGTGTATGGTTTTTCTCTCTCTGGTTTTGAACAATTTCATGTGTTTGGGCGTACCGTTCGTTTGAACATTCAGTAGCCGATTTATATTATTTTACTTATCTGATCCTTCACAGACCATTGACACCCAGACCAAGCAACCTTGACGTATTCGAATTGCATGAAAAGCTGACCGCGTTGCGATTGCATCAGCAAGCCCGGGA